CGGTGAAACGTTTTAACATAAATGAGCCAAGCGGTGAAGTTACTTTAGCGGTACCGCCCTTTTTCTGGTGGCTCCACCTCCATATTCTGTCTTCAATAGTTGTCTCTTGTGAGGTCGAAGGGTTTGTTAAAAAGAATCAATTGACTGGACTAGTCCAGGAGACGCATTGTTCTGGCTTGTATTTACAACTGCTTGAGGGTAGAGGGGTATTACTACATAGAGGCGTTTCCATCATTTTCTTTTGCGTTTTCATTTCAGAAACGAGTTCTTTGGCCACTTTTCTTCCTTGTTTCTGCCCACTACCGGCACTTGTTATTGCGGACCGTGCCCTTGACTCTTTCTTCCTCACACTCGTGTCTTTACTCCTCCTTATTGACATTTCTCCAAGTACTTGTTGTGAAAATACCTCAATCTTAGGCAGCTGTCTCTTTGTGCAGGCCAATATAATCCGCTGAAGAGCCTGTAAATTCTAACTGGTGAATGGAAATGATTCCGAACCATGAGCATCACTAGCGGCCTAGAAAACTCTTTTGTTATGCTGTAATTGTTTCCGATGGGTTAGATTCGTCCCAGTTTCTTCGCAAACACTGAACGCATCACGTGCTTTAGGTCGAGCTCAAGCTTGAGATCCTGTGAGCGGCTAAAAGCCTCACTTCGCGTCCCAAAACCTATTTCCTCTTCCTCATCAAGGCAAGTCTTGGTTGGTCGTTACTTGAAGTCTGCTCGAGAACTTTTTTCCCGTTAGGAGTGATGGCCCTGTTTCCCATCATTTGAAGGAGTAAAATGCTTTTCCCGTGACAATTATTAATCTTAAAACCGAAAATCAATTCGGCAAAGAAACTCTGAAGTCTCGAAAAGTGCTCTTCGGTGTTTCATAGACACCTAATAATTTGCTGTTCAATAGACATTTCTTGAGTTTCTTCAGTAAGTATTACAGAAGCCGCGCCACAGTGAGAGCGTGGTCCGTTTTTTTCGTTGCGTTGCGAATCCGTTGCATATGAGATGGGCAGGGTGGACAGGGCCAGAGGTGCTTCTATAAGGTCCGTAAATGATAAAACACCCCCTACGAGCATCTAAGGGAGATAGTTCCGGGAGAGTCTGGCGCCACTTCAATGCGGTATAAAAACCACGGCCTCCCTTGTTCTCGTCGGCATTTCGCATGATCAGCTGCTGCTGCTAAAGCGATTCTCAGGAAAATTATTGCTAATGGACCATAAATGTCATGTTATGGCAGGCGAATTCCTTAAGGATACCCCAGTCATAATCGGCCTTAGCGCAGCAGGAATGTGGTGAAATACGATGGAAAGATAAGATGCCAATAATACTGCGAGTAATGACTTAGTTCCTCTCACATGGTATCTTTTTTCTATTTTCAGTGATTCGATGTTTCATATCTATCATGGCGTCATGGACTCGTTTAAAAACATAGCTCGGCCTTAAAGGCAAAGCCTACAATCATTCGCTATCACAAATATGTAGTGGATTAGGGGTTGCATACAGGGGGGGGCCAAAAAAAAGTCATTCCGGCCGAGTCACATATGAGCGAAGTTTTCGCAGCCCAGACAGAGGAAGTGGATATGAGTACCAGAGTGGAAGATACCCAAGATCTTCCTCTATAAGCTGGAGCAGGCTGCCGCCATCGCCTTCATGTACGCCAAAATATGAAGTCATCTCCAGTCGCGGCCTGACTGGAGAACACCTTTGGAATTCACGTCGCCTCCAAACAGCTGCGAAACTTCTTGAATGAAGTCATCCACAGATAGCTACCTGGAGGTCAGTACTCTTGATCTGCAAGACCTCCCACATCGAGCAGCTACGGCAACGTCGCTACGGTCTAGGACATCATCTTCACCGTATTCGCCGAGGCGCGAGTTGATGGTATGGACCGGGGTACCTGGAAAGGGAAGACCGATATTTTCTTTGTAGACCCCGACTGAAGGTGAGCGCTGGCGGTTACATCAAGTAACTCGAGAAGAATATCCTCCCTACATGTGGTCGCCCGTACCTTCTTGGAGACCTTGTGCTGCTACAGGTTTGGGTGCCACCACATGGAATCGAAGGGTTTTGGAAAAACTCCCGCCTACTTGGAATGGAAGGGGCTGAATACCTAAAGAAGGTGGAATATCCAAGTAGGTCACCTGACCTGAATCCCCTCAATTACCCGGTTCGGGCGGAGTTCAATAGGGTGGTCTACGGTGGCGGAGAAATCAACGATCTCGCTCAACTCCGGTACCCACTCACTTTCGCGCGGCCGAATCTCTCGATGGCGCTCCTCCAGAAGGCTGTGGCGGAGTATCATTATAGTATTTAATGTGCTCTTTAATAAAATGTCCGATAAAAATTTAATAAAGTGTAACTTATAGCGCCTTGAAAGTCATGGAGGCAAAATGACTTTTTTTGGCCCCCCTGTATAGACGACAAGGTGCTGAGTAACTCGATAGTGAAGAAAAAGCAGAAAAAACATGCCACCTGCCCTAGATAGAACCCCATTTCGATCCCAGTTTGTACGTGCCCAATAATTCCATCTCCAACACTACCCCTCATCTTGACAGCTCAGAGCTCTACGACCGTACAAGTGACTGTTTTCACGCTTTTTCGTCCTGCGGCTTCGTTTTCACTGAAAGGCGGGCCTTGAAGGCGGAGTCTGGAGGCGGAGTCACTGGGGAAAAAGGAGGCGTCACTGAACCTATACTTGCGCTATAGCGCCCCTCCTTACAATTTTTGCTGCAAAACCGGTACAAGGTTTCGTCGCGGGCCACACTACCCTCCTGACGCCATATTTTCAACTTCTATACCTGATCGCGGACCGTGCCTTTAAAGGCACAGTTTGCGGAAAGCTGCCAAAACTTCTTCAGTGGCAACATTCAAAAACAGAAGTGTGTGCGCTAGTGGAGTTGCTGGTGAGAAGAACCCCGTTGTTCCAAGTGAAGGGCAAAGGGTCATCGGATCGAGAGTCCAAAGAAGGCAGCGAGTGAGCATGCAAGACATGGCTCCTTAGCACCCTACTTTACGACTAACTAACGGAGCTCTGGCACAAGGCTGTCCGTTGTTCAGGCACAGCCTTTCACAAAGCTTTGATTCTTATAAGTAGTGGGATATGTGACTAGACAATCGTAATATTCCGCGCTGTCGAGCGACGTCGTGTCCGACAGACGAGTTGTCCTGCCTTCGAGTTTACATGTTGAAGGGGAGAGAAAAGTCATTATGGATTCCCATGGGGTCCTGTATCCTCTCAAAATATATGAGTTTCCTTGCTCCAGTCGACAAATTGATGTACATCGTGAATTTGCAGCTCGCCCCTTTGTGGATTGTAGCCGTGATACGTCCCCCATGGCACATAAGAATTGTCTCGCCTGTCTCCCCGAAATAAGCATGCCATCGCTGCAGTTTGTCGACGGGGGGGGCATTCGGCTTTTCATAGATGTGCCGACCCATCTAGGTAGCCTTTTCTCGAGTTGACACGTTTTAGGATGGTGGCTAGACGATCTTACTCCAGCTTCACAGGCGTTCACAAGTTTTACCATGGTGAGATTCGTAAAACCGGAACTAGGGAAGCAATGTTAGTACAAAATGCCCCCCCCCGTCGCTAAACAGCGCCCATGTCATCTACCAGAGCGCAAGAGGCTTCGTGGCTGCGGACATGTGCGGATTTCTGACAAAAAAATTTACCTCTTACCCTGAACAGTCTCTATAAAAATTTAAAGGTATGGTATGTGAATGAGATTGCGCCATCTTTCGTGACCCGCCTTTAAAATGCATTTCTTCGCCGATGTTCACTCGAACCGCTCCTGAAAACAGGTCATCACGTTGAGGAATCCTTCAAAAGAGGAGATTATTTTTTGGGATAGATGAAAGACGGAATAGTGAAATGGAGTATCTAGAGACTGTGACACAGACCCGCCGCGCTGACGCAATCTGCCCGCTGCTGCGGCCTCGCCCCCCCCCCCCCACCACCCCCCCCCCGGGTTTGAAACCACAGCCAAACATCCTCGAAAGAGGTTCAGATAAGCGCATGGACTCAGGGTTACTCGACGAACCCCTTCATAGCTATCCTATTCCCTCTTTTCCGCGAGTGCAGTTGAAACGAACAGGAGTCGTAATAAACACTTAGCAAGCGTGAATCTTTGAAACATCATCCTGATGGCTCGAGCGAATAACCTCATCTCCGCCCTTGAACAAGGGCGACAAGTTCAGACGCAGATCGCCTAGTCTACCCCTCGTCTGCGGCCGAAAAAAAATAGTACAGCGTGAAGGATTCTTTCTTTGTTGAACTTGTCGGTAGTTCGACTTTGTAATGATTTAGATTAGTGAGGAGTTCTTCTCAGAGATTTCCCTCTTTCGCGCTTTCTAATTTACCCGGTCTCTCGTACTACCACACAGCTTTCTTCATCGTTAACTTGCACCAACAGGTCTTTAATGGCCCCCGGTCCCGGCTCGTTTTCATCTCGCCACCTTCCGCGCTCGGCCCCTCCTTCAGCCTACCGCTTCTCCTGTGCCACTCCTAAATGTGTAAACCATGACCCCGCTGTGTTATTAGAAAAGCCAGACCTGCTTTTCAGCGCTTTTTTCACTTGGGCTTATTACGCGTTGAGGTTTAAGCTTCCTGCTAAGGGTTGAAAACCACTTTTGTTTCAAAGCCAAAATTACCGTACTAGTTGAGGCGAAAGGCCATGACATCTTCTTCACCGACTTGTTCAGTACCATCAGGTATGGCAGGCTTCGACAACGGGTTGGAATTGTGCTTATCGCGTGTAAAATTTTATTTCAAGGAAGTTACAATCTCAAGGAAAGCAGTGGTACTGAAATAACGCGCTTCAGTGTCGACACAGCTGAAACACGTCCCGACCTTATGAACACAAAATCAAGCTTGCGCTAGTTTACTCTTCATAATCTTGGAATTGATTTTCATTCTCTTCTCACTTTTTACAAGGAAAGTGCGGGTGGACACTGACACAACACGTTTCGAGGAGCCGTCAAACGGAAGCCAAATTTTCTTAGACATGATGCTTGGCCATGGTAAGGACTATTTCATGTCCTGATGCACTGACGGGTTGAAGCTAACTCAGCCCTGGGAAGCGCGATCACACTCTTCGGATTTCACCGGGTGGCTTCGGAGACGCCAAGGGACTAACAAACGGGAACCCCTTCACGATTTCTTCTGTACTAATGAGCTTTTCTCAATTTTTTTTTTCTGGAATCACAGTGGGGATAATCCTAGATGCTTTGGCCCATCTTTTTAGTTCAGGGCGGATTCTGGTAACTCATGCTGCATCGCTTGATGTTTTTGAAAAGTCGATGAGTTCTGGTAGTCGCCTCACTTATGACCCGCTTAGTTTCCGTAGCCTATTAATCTACTTGCTTTTCGTTCTCTTTTAGTTAACCACGTTGCGGCTTGCAGTAAAGTTTTGCACCCTGAGAAGGAGCGTTCTTCTGACGCAATCAATCAAGAGCTTGCTTCTTCTCAGTGAAGACGCCAGCCAGAGCACTGTGAATACTTTTAGTGCCGTGCTTGCGTTATTATGCGCTTTCATCCTTTGCCCGCCGCACAGAAGCCACCTATAGCGCGGCAGGTTGTCGACGGCGGGGGGGGGGGATTTGCTCTCCCCATAGACTGCTGTCGACCCATCCCTCGCGGTTTCCTCGAGTTGACACGTTTTAGGATAGTGTCTAGACATCTTAGTTCAGCTTCACAAGCGTCCACAGGTTTTACCAGAGTTAGATTTGTAAACCGGTAACTAGGGAAGCAATGATAATACAAAATGCCCCCCCCCCCGTCGACAAAACACAGACGCCACACCTATTTAAAGGGAGGAAAGGTGCGGATTGAAACTCTCAGAACACAAATCTCCGCTGAAATTCTCAGTGAAAAAACTGAGATAATGCCAAAGATAACAGCCGGACGCACAAGGATAAATTAGAATGTTAGGTAGGGACGTAGTTGCCGAGCAAAAGAGAGGGTAACACAATCTTCATGGCCATGCGCTAACCCACGTGTAAGAGAAATTATGCTATTTGCAAGATGGCGTCGGATGCATCTTATTGCGGTATGATAAACGAGGGAAACCGGGGGGAATGACCAATCAACGATGGGGACATCGTGCCAGGTTCACGCTTCGCGAAGGCATGGGAATGTCTGTATGCATGAAAAGTTCGACTGAAACAGTTCCTATGCTTATATATAATTATTAATATTATGGGACTGTCGAAAAGATAGGTATTTCTTGGTTGGAAATCGATAACCGATACAGGGTATTGAGTTTTTGCGGGGGGTTATTTGCCGATTTCATCGGCCCATTGGACCGACGGCCCCGTCGCGAACTGTTAACCGCCTATATAATTGCTTGCGATCGCGTTTAGCACACTGACAAGAACCCCGAAAGGAGTAAGTGTACAGACTTCACCAAGGCAGGCCTTTAACACTAAGCAGGGGCTTCTAGAAGTAGCGGAGCCCCCCCCCCGTCCCTAAAGCATAGCAGCGCCTCGATATGTTCTCCAAAAAAAAGAGATTATCCACTGATATATGTATAAGCACTTGATGCGGAGGTGGTGGTAAGTTGCACGCTTGCCGCGAGCATCTTCCGGATCTAATCCCTGATCGGCTCCAGCTGAGGCCAATTAAGTCTTCTACCCCCCTCCCTCCCCTCCCCGCAATGGCAAATTGGTACCAGATTCGAATGGGAGGATAATAACACTGACTTGTACATCGGCTGGCCCCGCAAGTCATTGTATAGGCCACATCGCATTCAATAAGCCACTACGATTCTGAATGGAAGTAGAATGCGTGCCGCATCCCAAAAAGGGATTGATTTATGGAGACTTTATCCTTCATATAAGCACTTCATACTAGCAACCATAAGTGTAATGTTAGCTGTCTAATGACCATTGCTTTCAGGATGTACTGACACTTGCGACGATACAAAACCCTGCCCTGTGGGGACGTCATGTGTGGACAATCAGTGCTGTACCTGTTCCAAAGAAGAGTACACGCTGATTCTGAGAAACCTTACGTTCGACGATTCTGGTCGCTACAAATGCCAAATTGCCAACCAAACTGAACAGCTGGAGTTTCAGGTAGAAGTACTTGGTAAGTGAATAACCTTCGTGTATTCCTCAGCTGTGGGACAAGTGGTTCTGTTAAGAATCCGGACTGAAGGGCGGATTCCATGAGAACATTTCGTACGATCATTCGGAATGCTGTCAAGAAAAGGGCATATCAACGCTATGTCGGGCCATGTGCAAGCCAAGTGAAATGGCCCAGTACCACTTTGATCCCACCAGGTAACGCAATGTAGTATGGAAAATCGTTGTGTCAGAAGTTCATCGGGTCTTGTTCAGCTGTAAGACAGACGACTACAAGAACTTCCTATCCTGTGCTACTGACAACGGCAATCGAAGTCATATACATTGTTGCAAGACGCAGCTCGTGCCATCATTCTGCTACGACTTTTGCTCGGGAGACTTCAAGGTGAGAGAGTAGGACTCAGAGCATGCCTGCCATTGGAGGTCTCTCAAAATATGCCCGCTCTTGTGCCTATCCACCTCTGGTACAACCCCCTTCGTCATCCACCATCCTAACATCTTTCCACTTTCAACCACTTTCCGGAGTTTTCCAAAAAAAGCCGTCGAGCGGGAAAGTGGGAAAGGCGAGGGGGCAGGCGAGGGTACGTAGCGCACTTGAAACAACAAAAAGGTGAAAAGTCACAACCGAAAACATTTTTCTCTGGCGCAAATGCGACCCTCTCCCTCCAGCGACCGAATACGGCTCCCTCGCTGGAGATCCCCAATATTCTAGGGTCAAGGGTGAATAGTGTCATTTTCTTTTTAAGGTGAGATTGCAACTTCCCAGTTTGAGCTCGGAAGTTTTACTCTGCTATCTGAGAAACAACAAGAGCTTTCGATTTTACAGATGTTGCGTCGATCTCATCGCCTGTGCCTCTACTACCTACCGGAGATTTTCGAGTGCTACAATCGAGCTTACCGTATGTTACACAATCCCTCTTTAGATGTTAACAGAGGTCAAGACAGTGACCCTTTGACTGGGTTCTCCCCAAGTT